TAAAGTTATAATAGCAATAATTCTTTAAATCTGAGTCAGATTGGCTAGGTGTACAGATTATCTATACACTGTAAACATTTTCTGCTGTAATCTGTAGATCAGCCTTTTTATAGTATTTCCTTTTACTGCAGTTATCTTGAGTGATGTATTTTTAGGGTTGGAGTAGAGCAAAATGTGCAGTTGAGCTGTTTATCACTTAAACTAGTTGGGCAATTTGAGAAAACTGTGAGCTTAAAGGTATTGTGGAGGATTTCTTTGAAAAGACTTGCCCTCTCTACTTAAAAAAAAAAAAAAAAAAAATGCATGTGTGCAACTCTGTACCAAAGGAATGTCTATCAAACGCATGCACAAGCCAATTTCTCCTTGTACATGCTCTGTTTAAAGGTTTCTGTTTGCATTACTCATACAAGCTTACTTTCCAAAAGAGGATTTGCAATTTTTCCACTATGTCAGACTCACTACCAGTAAGTGAAAATGGGGACGAGCACGTATGACGGCCACTTACTTTGATGATCCGCACTGAAAAAGAACATCCTCCACTATACCCTTAAGTGTGCAAACTTTTAAGTTAATATTTTTTCTTTAATACTCTTTTAAATTACAGCATTCAGTCTTTTTGCAGTTCTAAATTACTATTTTATCATAGTTGTAAAGCTGATGTTTAAATAGAACCTTTGTTAGTTGAATATTGCCAAGTTGTGATGAAGAATGCTGATATATCCCTGCTGGATGGGAAGGAAGGATGGAAAGTGTTATTTAACAAAGTATTTGGCTCTGTAGACTTTTGAGAACCATTGCATACTAAGTCAGACACCAGTTGAGTGAATGTGATCTGATGTCACACAGGACCAACTCTTCTGTTGACAAGTGAAATTATCAAACAAAGGCTTGGAGCTGCAGCACTGGATAGGTAAGTTTTTACGCTCAAATTTATGGGAGAGGTTCCAATATATACTTTTTATGCTTTATGTTTCCCAGAGCATATATTAGATATAGAAGCATAAAGACTTCCCCCACTGTTGCTCTTTCAATTATGTTTAACTATTTTTTTAAAGGCACAAGAGAAAAATAGATCTGCAGTTCACTTTATTAATAGACTCTCATCGTCTTCAGTGTGCACGAGTACCGTCTTTCCAGCTGGCTGGGCCAACAAGAAGACATCCATCGCATAGTTCTTTATCAGACTGACTCCACATTGACCCCGTGGACTCAGCGGTGCATCCGTCAGGCTGACTGCATCATTATTGTGGGACTAGGGGAGCAAGATCCTGCTGTTGGAGAGGTGAGATGGAAAGAATGGGCAGCAAGAGATGAGCTGGAGGTCAAAGTTATATTTGTAAAAGAGTTTTTTGCACATTTTTTCTTTTTTTTATGGATGCACATAAGACTATTTGTATGTCATTAATATGATGTAAATAACAGTTAAATTGTTTAGCAACTTCAAAGAAGTACGTAATCTAAAATTAGATATGGAGTACCAGGATAAAGGCAAATTGTGGCAAAATCCTTTTTTCCTGCAGTAATTTTGTACTGACAGCCAGAAAGGATCTAGAATTAAACTCATCCCAGTTAGAAGCTGAAATAAAGAAGATGATTCTTCTTTTTGTATTTTCTGAACAGTTGGGGTATTTTATCCATAACATTCTGAATATATCAATCAGCTTTACCATGAATCTCTGTCTGTGTCATGAAGGTCACTTCCAAACATTATTCAGTCGATTCAGGTTGGGCCCTTCATGTTTAAACATTGTAATGGCTGAACTGTCTCCGGGTGACATGCATTTGAACCTTTAGCAAGCTTTGAAAAATGAGCAAAGAACTGATGGATGTGAAAGAGAATCAAGGTCTCTAAGTGCACGTATGACTCATGAAGGAGAAGTGATCTCTTCTAAAGTGGAGCGGAAAAAGGAATGAGCCCTTGTTGACCAGGAAATTGAAGAATGAATCACAAGAGAGATCAATATTTACCCAAATTCAAAATGAGTTAGATCTTTGGTTTTATTTTTTCCCGCTTTGGGTAAAACACTTCTAGAAAAAAAAAATGGAAAGGGGATACCGATAATCTGATCTAAAAATAATCAGATTTCCTTTAATCAGAATGTTAAATGTTAATAGTTAATAGGATAAAGTCAGTGAGCCTAAATGCAAATATTTAGTGGAATGTATATTTTTTGTTATATGTTGTAAAACATGATTATTTTACAGCTTGCTTCACAACTTGAAATTTTTTGCCCTTTGAATTAAGATCACCTTTCAAATAATTGAAATCGAAGCTAGTTTTTAAAAGCAATATATGTAAATTGTCATTTTTGTTATGAAAGTTGGTAAAAAAAAAAGATGGATTAATTGGATTCGTTTGGGGAAAAAAAATCAAAGATTAGATTTTTAAATCATTTCCCCCAGAACTGTTTTTTTTTTAGCCAATTCTTTGGATTCTTGAAGTTGATTCTGCTTTTCTTTCCTTTATTTACATAAGAATAACACAATAATGTAAAATGTTAAACAAGTCTCAATTTAAACTAAACAAAAATCATGTCATAATAAGTAACTAAACATTAAAGATAAATAGAAAAGGCAGGGGAACAGCAATGTGTACGCTTCAGAAGGCATGGCTACTGCATTCACTAATGTATAGGCCGACGCATGCAGATATCGACCGATACCAAAGCAAGAAAACAAACTGCAATATCAGCCAAAAATATTGGCCGGCCAATGTATCAGTCTATTTCTAGTTTAGATCTTTAGAAAAGCATGTTAACCTAATATGTGTGGCTTTGCCCTGAGGGAAAAAATAATTCAACATCCAGAAATCACCCTTGCTGTCACAGAAGTCTCATTGATTTTTATTGTATGTTTCTTAGTTGCCCTATGTTATTTGTAGCATTTTATAGGTAGAAATACAATTTGCCTGTTTAAACCTGAGGTCCTTCCTCATTCTTGTACAAATTTTATAAAAAGAAAATTTCACCCAATGCCCAAAGTATTTATAATTCCATCTGTACCAGCATCAGAAGGAAAAAAGTGTCAAACTTAAAGCTCAGAAACATCTGTGGTCGTTTCCTCTCTTCCCCCAGCTGGAGCGCATGTTAGAAGGAAGTGCAGTGCGGGCCCAGAAGCAGCTGGTGTTGTTACACCGAGAAGACGGCCCTCCTCCCCAAGGGACTGTGAACTGGCTGAATATGCGAAGCTGGATCTCCAGGCACCTCCACCTCTCCTGTCCCAGAAGGGTCTTCTCTAAAAGGAGCCTTCCCAAGCTGGTTGGAATATCTCATTTATCAAAGCTTAGTATCGCAACCACACTTTGAGCTTATAGTGTTCTCCACTCCATCCATTCCATTTTCACTTATTTTCTCAACTTGCCTTACTTTTCTTTTCTTCAGCTAGAGCTGTACCAGCGTGTGTTTGAGAAGCCTGCAGACCGCCACTCTGACTTCTCACGTCTGGCTCGGGTTCTCACTGGTAATGCTATTGCTCTCGTCCTTGGAGGAGGAGGGGCCAGGTAAAATGATTTCTTAACTGATCTTATTACATAAACAGATGGCAGTCTGTGTCATGTTTGTTGTTGTCTCGCTCTCCTAATCAGGGGTTGCTCACAAGTGGGGATTATGAGAGCACTCTGTGAGGCCGGTATCCCGGTGGACCTGATTGGTGGGACTTCTATTGGAGCCCTAATGGGGGCTCTGTATGCTGAGGACCGCAGCCTGAGCCGCATGAGGATTAGAGCCAGAGAATGGGCAATGGTGAGAATCCCCTACATGCTGTAGATGAGCTTTGATTCATCAGTCACACAATACAATCTAAGGGTTTTTTAGAGTGTTACACCTGTCTTGTGTTATCTGGCTTTAGATAAGTGAGGCTCCTCCTGTTCACATATATGTTTGGAGCACTCAAAGAATGAGATCTTTGATCTGTCCACTTCAGTGTTTTTGGCTGAGGACCACATGAGGTTCCCCCTAGGCCTCTAAAAATAGTAAAACTCACAAGTGAGCTGTGTCAAAAATATTTGTTATTTTTCTTGCTCTTATTTTTCAGTATGACGATCATCAAAGTAAAAAGAAAACTATGTATTTTTTTTTTTTTTGAAGGTCCCAGTTGTATCTTTTACCACTCAGATATTTATGCTTATAGCTTTATCATTTGCCTTTTACTCTGCCAATAGGAAATGACATCAACATTTAAGAAGGTTTTGGATTTCACATGTCCTGTGTCGTCCATGTTTACGGGTGCTGGCTTCAACTCTAGCATCAGCAACGTGTTTCAAAGCAAACAAATTGAGGTGAGCATAATTTTATTCTATTTTTTTTCCTTTTTTAAAGGACGCATCAGGGTCTAGAGCAGAGGTCACGGATTCGCGGGCCGTGGTCCGGATCTGGACCCACCTGCTGGCTAATCTGGACCCAACCTGATTTAAAACATTTGTAAATTACCTCATGTTGTCCGACGACATTGTCGAACTTTACTTGCGCCACTTCTCCTGTTAATACGGTAAAGCCCTCCGGACCCTCCGGGACCAGGTTACACATGATACAAATTAGCCAATGAGCTGCTGTTAGTCTGGGTTGCTGCTGCTGCTACTTTTAGATACAGCAGGCAAACCTTTAGCAAGCTGGGCGATGGGAAAGAATGAGAAAGACGATGAGAAAAATAGAGCAGAGAAAGTGTGTACTGCTGGAAGAAGTGCAGTGAACTGGTGAAAGAAAAGTGAAATGGTGTACTCAAATATAACCCTGCACATTTTGAGTGTGTTTGGCTAAACCTACTGCTGTGAAGCAGGATTTTTCACCATGAAAATAATCAAAAATAAATATCGATCCTGGCTCAAGAATGAGCACCTTGATTTGTACTTGAGAATGGCTTTGTCTCCATTCAAACCGAGTTTTAAAAGACTTGCAGGGCAGCCTAAAGCCCACTGCTCTCATTAAGCCAGAAAAAAGAAAAACAAAATAACAAACGGTTAGTTGAGGTTTTCTATAGAATATGTGAATCAGGAAATTGTCTATATACCAAACTGAACCATAGTTGTTCTCTACTTCAAAAAAACACTTTAGATTTTAAAATGGAAAAATGTTCTGTTCTATTCTTTTATATATATTTTTATTTTATTTAAAAATTCAATGTATAACATGAATGCAAAAAAAACTCCTTTTATTTCAGTGTTAAATGCTGTTTAGATTAACAGATTCTAATTAAAAATGTCTCCGGACCTTTACTGGTTGATGATTTTCTTTATTCGGACCCTGCTGATTTTTAATTGTTTAAGCTGACGACTATCCTTATCTAATTTACCGTTTCATGAGTTTTTTAACTATTGTTTTTGAAATGCAGGACCTTTGGATCCCATATTTCAATATTACCACAGATATCAGTGCTTCAGCCATGAGGGTACACACTGATGGTGAGTGTTGAGTTAGTGTTGCTCTCCTACTTTTTCTTTATGTCTTCTAACTTAGCTCTTCTTTCCTTAAAATTTTCCTCATTTGGCAATTATTTAACCCATATTTTAATTATTTTGTTTAGTTTACCTTTATTTTAAAACATAATATACATCTCACCTGAGTTTAGGTGCGTTTCTTTAAATATATAATGTGTTGCCTTCTCACTTACTGACACCGTATTAAAGATGTTGACAAAAACCTTTAAAGAATTGTTGTAAACCTATATTCTATTTTTATTAAAGATATTTTACATCTCTTACCATCCTCTTCCCTGTGTGTGGTGAAAAGTAAAACCTGGATCTTTATCTCGTTTTAAGCATACAATTGTTCTACTGTACTTATAAATAGTAAATATAAAAATTTAAATATATTTGTTTTATAGGAACTGGTAATAATACTTCAATTCAATTGATTTTTATAGTGTCAATTTACAACACATGTAATCTCAAGGCACTTTACAGAGACAATTCAACCAGATCATCCAATCAGATTGGTTCATAGTTTTGTATCTAAGGAAAACCAGCTGATTGCATCGAGTCATTCACTAAAAGGCAATCCCTCACACCAATCATGCTTGAAGCGACTATGGAGAGGAAAAACTCCCTTTTAACAGGAAGAAACCTCCAGCAGAACCAGGCTCAGTGTGAGCGGCCATCTGCTGAGGGAGCATAATGTTGGAGAATGAACTGCAGAATGGGAGAATGGATAATAAATGTAAACATGTTTTTCCTTAATTTGAAATATACAGTTTAAAAAAAAAAATTCAATTGAAGTATTTGAATTGGCTTTAAAATATTTTTCAATTTGAGATTATTGTGTTTGAATGAATATTTTTACATTTACTTTTTACATCTCTTTAGCAGGAGGGGCAGTAAATGTACAGGGATGTCGTTTTTTGAGGCAGGGTTTCTAAATGTCCTGTTTGCTGGTTAAGGTTCCTTGTGGCGGTACGTTCGAGCCAGCATGTCTCTCTCAGGATACCTGCCTCCTCTCTGTGATCCCAAAGATGGACACCTACTGATGGATGGAGGCTACATCAACAATCTGCCTGGTTTGTTAGACTCCTTCATTTATCACCATATTAAATATGTTATTTCTGTACCTTAATATATGCATTTGTGGGGAATTATATCTACATATCTTTTATGTTTCCTGGTAATGTTTGTTTCTTTCTCTTTTGGGTTACTTTCGATTTTTCCAGCGGATGTGGCGCGCTCCATGGGGGCCAAGGTGGTGATAGCTATTGATGTGGGCAGCCGGGATGAAACAAACCTCACTAATTATGGCGATTCGCTCTCAGGCTGGTGGGTGCTATGGAAACGCCTCAACCCCCTGGCAGAGAAAGTGAAGGTGATGAATTGATTAACGAATAAAAACGCAACAAGCTGTGGGAGGAGGTTTTGGAAAAAAATAAATAAACCAGGTCTATGAATAACAATAAGGATTATTTGTGGCGGTGCCTTTGGTTTGATCATTAAGTCGATTTCAACAGGTGCTGAATATGGCAGAGATTCAGACGCGGCTGGCTTACGTATGCTGCGTGAGGCACCTGGAGTCTGTTAAAAGCAGCGACTACTGCGAGTATATCAGGCCCCCAATCGACAGATATCGGACCCTGGAGTTTGGAAAATTTGATGAGATAGCTGTAAGTTTTAGGCACACTTTGCTTACTTTAATCAAACTCTCCTCAGGTTATAGCTCCCGATGCCCCATTTTTTTTTTTATTAGCCTAACATTGTTTGGTGTCTTTTTATGATTTATTCTTTCAAATCTGTGTGTGTTTGTGTTGTGTTGTAGGAAGTGGGCTACCAGCATGGTAAGACCGTGTTTGATGTGTGGAGGCGGAGTGGCGTAGTGGAGAAAATGATGAAAGACCGGCACCAAGAGGAGACACACAACACCCAATGCAAGAGCAATGTACGTGAGGGGATGTGATAAATATAGGCGACACACTTTACATATGTGAAAATTACACCTTAATTGGAGGTTAGGTTTTGATGCCACAGCAAGTCAGCTGCATTTTCCAACATTTAGTCTCTGCAGCTAAGCTAAAGCAATTATAAAGTTTATTTAGTACAATTAAGATGACCCTCTCGCTGCTGGTAATTGATTCACGTTTACTTTTGTATTGACCTTAAAAAAACAGCAATGTCTTTAAAAAAAATGATCAATTAATCCAGTAGAAAAAAGGCAAAATTGTGATGTAAACAAATCAAAAAATTTATTCACACTTCCTTATTCTAGCTTGATTTGTTAAGTCAATGTGTTGTTTTTAAGTGGTAAAACACCTTAGACGTGAATACATAAACATTTAAGATCTACTGCATTTGTTTAAATGAATAAAGTGGGTAAAGTATTAAATAGAAAATTGTTTGGAACCATAAAGCCCAACCTTTAACCTTACATTGTATAAAAAAAGAAAACTATCAGAACTTGACATGTTTTCTTTTAAAATAAAAAATTAAATTATTTATAATGTGCTGCCTGCTGTAGAGGGCCACACATTTAGCTCTAAGATGCTTTTACTTATTGATCTGCTTGCCAACAAAACGTTGGGCTGCAGGCAGTCACGTCTATTCAGCATCATTAACATTAAGCTTAGAAAAGCTGAAGGAAATAGAAAGTATCTTAGCAGAGCTGAGGTGTGCGTCCACAGTTCAGTTCTGTGTGGCAAGAAAAAACTTTAAAATAAAAGTTGACCTTTTTCTCAAGTCATCTGGAAAAATAATTGATAAAAAAAAGCAATTGATTCTCAAGCAAGGTATCATATTACATATACTTAAGTCATCGTTTTTGTTTTTACTATTAAATGTTAACCACACAGTGATAAGTTTTTTATGACTTGATCTCTATTAAATTAAATATTAAATGACTGATTCACTATTTAAAAATTCATTGCCTGAAAAGGAGGTCAGCATCCTTACCAGGAAGTCATTTTAATTTTAGAACCTCTGGGAATAATGTTGGATTTTGGGCAAAGTTTAGAGTTGACTTGGCCTTATAAAGGATTTTAGCTTTACTTAAGTCACTGTAAGGCCACAAAAAATCAGGGATTACCTCCATTGTCAAATCAAATCCTTCTTTAGATTAGACTTTTAGCAATGTTAGAAAAGCCCACATTCTTACAAAATCAAATGTATTTATTCAAATGTTAAATTAAAGTGTTGCAAGAACATTAGTAAAACAAAGGGATAGAAATTGATCATGTGAAATACAGCAAAAACAAAATGGCAGAAAATATGCGCACCTGATTTAAAAATGGAAACAAGAATGAAGCTTTTGTTAGGGGTTTGAGATTTGAACAGTTTGGCTGTCTTCTGACCAACTCCCATTTTTATTCTTTAAACAACAGCCTGCCCACACAGACATTTAATGATGTCTTGCTATTTTCAGATACTCTTGTAGGATGCATCTCAAGGGAAACAATGCATGTCTTCCACTTAAAATGCATATTGTTGAACAAAATTCCAAAAAAATAACAGAAGCAAAAAAGTGAGATTTGGATGATAAAATGCATCTTTCAATTAAACCCCTTTTGAATTGAGGTGATACTCAAACTTCTGCATTAAATTTTAAATGACAGATGACGGCTTTCAGCACAAAACAAAAAGGGCATGCATTGTGCCATCAGGTTGTCGTTCCCATACATGTCACTTTAGGCTGCTAGCTGATGGCTAAATGAGTTTGAGGTTGAAGAAGTCTTGTCAAAAAATAATTTTTTGTTGAATTTGTGTGTCTCTCAGGTGATGACGTGTCCAAATGCCTCCTTCACTGACCTTGCAGAAATCGTGTCTCGGATTGAGCCTGTCAAACCTGCGCTGGTGGATGGTATAACTCCTGACACACATTTCTAACAATCCTGTCCCTCAAATAGTTTTTATTTTTACTCATCAGAGGAAATCGATTGGTTACCCAGTGCATAATAATTAAATTTATAAATGTATTTTAACTGGAAATAAAGAAATTAACTGTTTTAATCTTTTAAATGCAGCATTTCTTTGAAAATAATACCTAAAAAAATATCTATAAGCTTCTAAGTTCTTCTCTTGGGAGTGCTATTTTCTTACCCAGATTTTTTTGGTGCTATTTGAGTTCTTATGGGGTTATTTTCCGGGGGATTTTGAATTTGCCACATTATCTCCTTCTTAATTCACTTATTTCATCCTTTTCACCCACAACCTGCTTCTGTTCTCCCCGTCCTCCACTGTTTCCCCTCATCAGAGGAGTCAGACTATCAGACTGACTATGAAGAGGAGGCATTGGAGAGTGCACTGTCTGACATGGAGATGTACAGTCACTACGGGGAGCACACTGAAGGGGAGGAGACGGCTGACACGGTGTGAACTACTTGTAATGACACTGGAGGGTCTCTCTTTCTAGTCCTAATATTAAACACTGTTCCCATTTATAACTGTAGACTAAAATCTCTTAACACATTGAATATTTATGTTTTCACCTAATCATGTTTGTACATCTGGCATTTTTTTAAAAAACATCACTAAAAATGCCTGCAGAGATTTTTAATCTCTGCAGGCTCTTTTTTTTTTTACCAGAGATGTCCTGGTCCAGAACTAATATCAGAAAATCAGTCCAATATTAGCAAGATAGAAATGAATATCTGGTTCTATTGATCTGCTTCTAAAATATATAATTCCAATATAAGCAGACTGATAGAGGCACAACATTCCAGTGTTTCTATCCAGCAATGCGGCTCTAGTTCTAGTTAAAATCTGACAGACATTTCAGCTGAGTTCAGAACTAGTCATGCACAAGTTTTCTATCTTCTAATTTGGGTGTTTTTTTTTCTTTTATTCAATTGTAGTCATAAGTCATATCAGGCCCCCAAGAACTGATCGTATAGGTAGGTTCAGTTGTTCTCATTAGTAGCATTGCCAACAACTGTTTTCAGATTAATAATACTTGAACAAGGTGTTCAAACATTCCACACAACCAAACACGTAATAAAGTTTAATAATTTGAGCTGATCTTGTCATCAGTCAATAATCAGAGCTGTTCTATCAGTGTCATATTGGAAATGGAACAGTTTTTGGGGACATCTCTTCCAGCAGGTTCATTGACCAAACATAAGAGATTATTGCTTGTAACATAATGTGCAAATTAAAAGTATGTGATCCACAAAAGTGTCACCAGATTACATTATATGATGGCGGTTCTGTGAATCATAGCAGTGAATGAAAGGAGCTAAAAGTCTCCCTCTGCTCTGCTTGGAAAAATCAAAAAGGTTTCAACATACTTTAGTCATTTATTTTATTCCGCTCAAGTTTTCCTGTTTTTATTGCATTAAATATGTTTGTTGTATATTTACAATTCAAACCATATCTCTACGTCTTCTCTGTCAGGATGAGGAACAGGAGAGGAAAAGACTGACCCGTGGGCAGCCTTCAACCCCCTCCTCCAATTCATAGGAGCAACAAAAATGTTCCAAACAAGCCATTAAGGAAGCAGCAGTCTGAACAACACCCAAACAGGTCACAAATATTCCGCCGCATTTTACCCTCCTCTGTCCCTCACGACTCCAACATGTAATTGTGTGCAAAAAAACTGCTCTAACCTCTCCAACCTGTGGTAGATGTGTGTCTGGGACTCATTGCTATTCACTGGTTTACCAGGCAGCTCCTAAACCAATCTCTCATATTGAGATAGTTGATGTGACTTCTGAAAGCTTTAAGTAAATCACAGCTTTTCAGTGGAAGGTAAGAAGATGGGTGACGACCCTATTTCCATGAAATAGTCCTCACTAAGGCCAAGTTAAAAAAGTAAATAAAAAATCTTCCTTGAAACTGTGGACATTTGAAGTAGTTTGGGATTCCCAAGTCAGAGTTATGTGTTTTTTATTTTTTGCTTCCTTATAGCTGTTTTTTTTTGCACAAATGTTGTCAATTGTGATTATTCACTGGAAGTATCCCCCTCTGTGGTATTGCGCAGAAACATAAACCTCAAATAAGACATTTTACAAGGAAATAAATATAGTCAGTTTTTTGCCCTCATTTTTTTCTTTTCTTTCTTTTTTTTTTTTTTTTTTTTTTTAAGTATAAACAGTTTCAGGTCTGTATGTGTTTCAAAGTAAAGCATCTAACCCTCTGATCTGAGTGTGATGGGCACCAGTTTGATTTTTTAGGATGCTTAATGTAGCCAAAAACCTTTGGCTATACAAGCTCCCTCAGTGCCCTGTAGGTTAATCCTCAAGCTGTTCTCTGATTGTTTATAA